AGCTACTTACGAGAAAAATGTGAATTCCACAGTTGTACCCATCCTTCTGTTTAAAGTGCACCGGCTCGATGCGAGGCCGTGATAGAGAAAGCCAGCCCGTTTTGGCGTCAGCGACCTCACTACAAATATAATGGCAGGCAAATGTCATTCTCAAAGTGACTGCCGTTTTAAATTGAAGGAACGGCTTTTTTCACGTACGACTTTACAATTTTACACTTGTTATAAGCACTGAAAGTAGACATTGCATGCCTATCGTGTTCGCTCCTCTGTTGGCAGAACAGGTTCAGTCGCTTCTGGATAAGTAGGGTTTATCACTGCGAGGAACGCTTTCATACATTTCATGAAACCGCAGTACACATAGATGATTTTCATATATTCAAATTCATAGAGTCGCCGCCACGATTACGCATTCTAGTGTCTTGGTCAAAAACTGTCTTCAGTTTTTAATGCCATCCTTTCGCGGGGTTTCGCGGGTTTCATAATTTCCCCGCTGACCAAGATTACTGTTTACTCTTACCCTCGACGAACGCCTTCGATATAGCGTCACCCCTATAAAACAGCTGAAGATCAAAACTCAAAAAGTTGTCTGTGGTAGGGAATCCTTTTACAGTTGAAGGGATAAGAAATGTTATGGAGCTCAAGGGTAAAATTGATGCTGTGTATTCAAATGTCTCAGGTGAGTAAAGGAAATTCCTTTTCACATTAATTTTGTGACACATTATTTAATAAATTGTTTCTAATGGTTGACTTTCAAGGGGTTATGCTGCTAATGTTACTGATGATTACAGGCAGCTGACAATAGTTTTATAATAAAACCTGAGAATAATATGAAGTAAATACTGTCACAGTTATACTGTATGGTTGAACAAAGTTCAGGTATCACTTAAGAAATACATGACAATTGTATTGAGAGTATTTAGTAATATTTTGAAAAGCTTCATTTTAACAATTTGGCTGACAACGAAATTTAAGTTCAGCTACAGTGTAATATAATTTGATTGAGAATTGAGGAAGGATAAAGTTTATTACAAATCATTTTACAATTAGGTATTAGCATAATGATTACAATTTTTGCTTTCTAATTGATTGGAATTTGAGAAGGATTTAAGTTCATTGCAATTAAATCATTTACTGTTAGGAATTAATGTTGTTATTTTTCCTTTCTATTTGATTGGAATTTGAGAAGGATTGAGTTTATTGCAAGTCATTTCACAGTTAAGAATGGTTTTTGTAATTTCTGCTTTTTATTTATTTCATTTAAATTAAGGAAGGGTAAAGTTTTTTGCAAATCATTTCTCATTTAGGAATAATTTTAGCTGTAATTTTTGCTTTCTATTTCATTGGAAGTAATTAAACACTTAACAATATTAAGTAAATTGTACCGAATTTATGTACTGATATGAGTTTAAAGCAAGTGAAAAACTCTTATTGTTTCATTTTATTGAGTCACTTTAAAATTGTTATTTTGTATGTGTTCACCAAAGTCATTAATGCTTAGAACATCAAGAAAATACTTTGGTTTGAGTTTTATATACAAGCATAGTTTTTAAATTTATACATGGTAGACATATAATTAAATTGACTACTATATATCTACCTCTAGGTTTGTTTCAGATTTTTTTTTAAACCTTTTGTAAACAGAAATTTCTTTTCCTGTCAGTTTATTATGATGATTACAACTCCCTCTAATTTCAGTTTTTCATTTGACTTTGGACCACTGACGAGTCGACAACTTTAGAAGTTTACAGAAACGACTGTATATCGGATAATCAACGTTTATTGATATAACTATTTCATCTGAAATCAACAAATTTCACAACAGTTATTTGTGGTATTCACCTACGTTGAGATCCCAAACAAATAAATTAAGAATTACTGTAGAAAACTCAAACCAAACCTACTTCTTTGGCGGGTTTCCATAAACTATGAACTACTGAACTGAAACTGCAGCTTGAATTACCGAACTCGGCGAACTTAAACTCCTGTATCTGGTAAGCGGCTGATTCACATTTTTCCTAAACGTGCTATGACCAGACAGGAAACTATAAAACCATTCAAAGTGTAAATTGTTCCTAAGTGTCAATCAAAGTTTGCCTATTGCACGTTAATAATTAATTCCGTTGAGGGAACAGGCTTAAATTAGGCCTTGTGGACCAGTTAAGACCAGAAGGACACAAAGCACAGTTGGCTTTTGAAAGGGCTTTGAAAGATGGATATGTAAAAGTCTACTGTGGTAGAATCATGCTGATTGGTCAGGATCCCGCTGGTAAAACAAGCTTGAAGAAGAGTCTCTTAGGCCTTCCATTTGACCCTGAAGAACAGAGTACGGAGGGAATTGAAGTGGATCCTTCAAGGTGTGAAATTGATGTTGACCTAGTTAGAAATTGGCAATCCACCAATGAGAACAAACCAGGACTGTTAGACTGTGCTAAAGATGTAGCAGAGATTCTAGCAGAGGAATTGGTAAAGAAAGCAGAAGAAGACCCCTTTGAAGTAAGTGTAGGACATAATTTTGAGGAAAGTTAGCCTACAAATTATCCACAGATTTTGAAAAGGGTGTGGACAAAACTTGGCCTAGGCCATGGCCTATCCTGTGGCCTA